CCCACCACGCGCCGCCGTCTTCGACAGTAGTAACAATCGCAATAATCGACTCCCTGAGATCTCAACGTGTTCCCGCCCCTCCCTTGCTACGTTGCGTATCGCACGCATCAATCTCTACAGGCAGCACATATTCCATGCGCCTGTGCAGCTGTCTACCGCGATGCTAGCTAACTCCTCGACACATGAAGAAGCGCGCATACATTAGCCCAAAAAAAAGCAGCGCGGTGCATTCCGGCGACAGCCTTCGTAGTCTGATCGCCGGGTTCGTTTAGTATCGACAAACAGTACAAGTACAGTAGAAGCAAAATGGGAGCGTGGCACGCGAGGGCGTTGTTCTGGCGCTTCACAAGCTGCTCGTGTCTCATGACGCGTGATCCTCTTGCTGGCCTGTGAGATAATTCTTGACCGAATCAAACCAACTCTTTTGGTTCCCTGCCGCGTTTTGAATGACCTCATCGACGTCCTCGCCCTTTCCGCCGCCTTCTTGTAATCTCATCAATTCGCTTTGGCGCACGAGTGAGCCCGCGCCCATCCCAGCAGCCGACCCGTCCCCTTGCGACGACCTCTCAGGTCCGGTGGGAGCAGAGGCGGTGCCCTGTGCTGAGGTAGGCACTGCAAGCGCATCCGCCGTCCCATCCTGCTGCGGACCATCCCCCTCAGTAGCAGGCGTGCGACCCCCGTCAGCGACTGACACCGCCGCCATTTGCTGTTGCAGAGTCTCCGAGGCTTCGCTAGAACTACCCTCGGATGTGCCCGAGGACGTTGACTGCGGCGGTGTCGGCTCCTTAGGCAGCGTCGGGAAGACTTGCTCTGGTATTGGATCTGTGGGAGTTGGTCCCGTGATGGTAGACCGATGGAACATTGGATGTCCTTGAAGCTGAGAGTAAAACACTTTCTCCATGCTAGGCCCTGGCTTCGCAAGCTCCTCATTAATAAAAGCAGCATCACCCCAGCCCAGGTCCATGAGCGAGCGGACGATGAACTTGTCCGGGTTTAACATGGGTTCCGAGGGCGGCACAAATTTGTCTTCGACCCAGTTGCGCGGAATGATACTCTTAAACCATGGGTGTTCCTTAATACCCGCCAGGGTAATCCTCTTATCAGGATCGACAGTAAGCATAGCTCTAATAAGGTCACGCAAGTCCTTCGGCAGCTCCGATGGAAGATGGTATTGTCCCGCCTGGACCTTTTGCAGAAGGCGCTGGATGTTGTCGTCGTCAAAGGGGAGGCGACCTGTGACCATGGCATAGAGAATGACGCCGCAAGACCAAATGTCGGCCTTGAGTCCGTCGTATTTCTCGCCCGATACAACCATGGGGTCGCAGTAGTGCGGGGAGCCGCACGAGGTTTCGAGGAGTTTTCCCGGGCGGTTGAGGCTGGTCATGCCAAAGTCGGCGATCTTGATGTTGTAGTGGCGGTCGAGAAGTAGGTTTTCGGGCTTGAGGTCGCGATGGCAGATGAGGCGGTTGTGGCAGTACTCGAGACCGCATATGATCTGCTGGAAAAAGGTGAGGGCCTCGGTGAGGGGGAGGGCCCCCCTTCTGACCAAGTACTCGAACAGCTCGAGGCCATCGACGAATTCCATGACGAGGAAGAGATGTGTCTCGATCTCGAAGACGTCTATCAAGCTCATCAAATTGGGATGCTTAAGGACCTTTAGCACGGAGATCTCCCTACGCATCTTCTTCTTCAAGGAGGGTTTGTTCTCCAAAAAGTCCTTGCGGACGATCTTAATGGCGACGATCTCATCGGTCTCGAGGTTCTTCGCCAGCTTGACCTTGCCCGTGGAGCCAGTGCCCAGTGTCTTGCCAAAGATGTACGGGCCGACGCGCGGGCCTTGGTCGGTGGTGACGAGCTGGATGGGCTGGCGGGTGGGCACGACGACCTCGTCGGTAGCGTTAGCCATGACGGGAATGCCTCTTCGCGAAAAGGGCGGAGGAGGAGAGGGGGTGGAGGAGCGGGCTTGAATGGATCGAGACTACTCGTCAAGAAGGGGGTGGAGCAGTGCGCTTGTGGGGGTGGAGCAGTGCACTAATGCGGAAGGGGGCGTTCTGAAGCAAAAATGGTTGATTTTTCAGTAGATCAAGGGGGGGGCCGATGCCTTATCACAAGACAGGCTTGAAGGACTCACACTTGCGTGGGACACGATGAAGCCGGACCATGATAAGGCATGCGGGCGAGGGTGGCAACACACGGTAGCAAAGCCTGCACGAGAGGCATCGGAAGGGGGTGTCCCCGCGACCTGTGAATTGAATTTAGGTGAAAATTCGCCAAAACTAGAGGGCACAGATCGCAAATCGCGATGTGCTCAACGTATCCGGATGCCGGCCGTCCCTGGCGACCGCAATTTCCAAAAAACAACTCTTCGCATGCCTTGGTGGGCATGCAAGGAGTAGTTTTTTTGGAAAGATTGTCAATTTTGAAAGATTGCCAATTTTGCGGCCTGGTGAGCATGCGACGACTAGTTTTTTGGAAAGAAAATGCCCGACAAGGCACGCAGTGGGTTGAGGAAAATTGACAATCTTTCCACTGCACTGTGCTTTGGGGTGCAGTCACCAGCCACCCCTCGACACGGCCCCTAACCAACCGCTGCCCCTCGCACCCACGTCACCTCGTGCACTCTTATACCGTATCCACTACCCCCCCCCCACATCCTCCAACCGCACAGCATGCGCCTCGCTCCCAGTCCAACCGCAACCATCCACCTCCCCTGCACCCCTCCGCTCGCCACTTGCTCGCAGCAGCCATGTCGCGCCACCGCCACATCCGCAACCTGTGCTACGACGACTACGACGACTACGCGGACGACTACGACGACTACTACTCCGAGCCGGAACCGGAGCCGGAACCGGAGCCGGGACCGGACGATGAGTCCCTTCTGGCCGACCTAGCCGCGCAGTTCCGCCGCTGTCTGAACGACGACACCATCCAAGAGGCCACCATCGACGCCGCCATCGTCGCGGCGGACTACGACGTCGACGCCGCCCTCGAGCTGCTGCGCCAGCAGCGCGCCGCGGACGCGGCCGCGGCCACCGCGGCCATGGCCTCCCTGCAGCTCTCGCACCCGTCGCCCATCGCCCGCATGCTCGAGGAGGACGCCGCCCCCGCCGAGCCGCCCCGCATGCCGGAGCCCGCCGACACCAGGGAGCCGCTCGTGCTGAGCGGCGGCAACGCCCTGCTGCCGCGCGAGCCCGCCGACATATCCCCGTTTCGATTCGATAAGCCGTCGCCAGACGACGTTTTGCTCGCGAAGAAGGGCGGCGCCGGCAGGAAAAAACTCGCGCTTAGGATGCCCAAGGTCAAGCCCGGGTCGCGGAATGCCGTTATTGACGCCGGCAAAGTTAACGGCGTGGCCGAGGTGCCCAAGAAAAAGGAGCCGCCAGCGGTGGTTAAGCCCGCGAAGAAACCGCCTCAGGCGGCCGGCATGAATAGCAAGGTCAAGCAGAGGGTGAAAACTGCGGACTTTAGGACTAAAGTGAAGGAGGGTTGCTCGTCGGTGTCCGTGGTCGTCGCGGGGCATGTAGACGCGGGGAAGAGCACGTTGTTAGGGCATATATTACGCTTGCAAGAAGGGACAGGTGGGGGCAAGGGGAAGCGCCGGAGAAAGGAGCAGGACCTTGCGTGGGGGACGGATGAGGATGCCGTTGAACGGGAGCGCGGGGTCACGATTGATATTGCCACCAGGGTCTTTAAAACGGAGGGGCGAAACGCAAGGACATATGCCATGATTGATGCACCAGGGCATCGCGACTTCGTGCCGGCCATGATCTTAGGCGCCACACAAGCGTCTGCAGCTTTGCTGGTGGTTGACGCTTCGCCTGGCGAGTTTGAGGCGGGCTTTTCGGAGGACGGTCAGACCAAGGAGCACACTCTCGTGCTCAAGTCCTTGGGGATTAGCCGACTGATTGTGGTAGTGAATAAGATGGACGTCATAAATTTTGAGGAGGACAGGTTTGAAGAAGTTGCCAAGGCGGTTAAGAACTTTTTGAGAGACACTGGATGGAAGGTGGACAGGTCGGTGTCATATGTCGCGGCCTCAGGTCGCTCGGGGGCCAACCTGGTTCAAAAGCCGGACGCGGAACACCCACTGATGAAGTGGTACAAGGGACCGACCGTGCTAGAGGCCATTGAACGCTTACCAAGCGCAGACGCTTTGCATATCGCCGAGGTCAGTGCGCAGCCGACGAGGCTGATTGTGTCCGACTTTTTCCGGAGCGCCACCCTAGGCGGCAACGGCGCTGTTACTGGACGACTACTATGCGGTACCATCGCACCGAAAGACAAGCTCTCAATACTTCCCGGCGGAGCGCTTGCGATGGTGAAGAACCTGGAAACAGGGTCCGGCGAGCGGAACGGGGTCGCCGTCGCAGGCGTCGACTCCCTCCCCGTTTCCATCGGGCTCATGGACCTCCCGGATGGGGTCATCGTCAACACCGGAAGTGTGTTGTGCGACCCGGAAGCGCCTGTACCCGTGGCTGTACGTTTCACTGCGCAGATCATCACTGTGACCACAGGCACCCCACTGATCCAAGGTTCGAAAGGCGTGCTGCATATTGGCGGCGGAGCGGAGGCTGCCTCGATATCCAAGCTATGTGAATACAAAACTAACTATAAGAAGGGAAGTCATGGAGGAAAGAAGAAGCGCAGGCCGCGCCGCTTAGTGAAAGGGGACACCGCGGTGGTGGAGATTACGTGTGACCGTGGTGTCCCGATGGAGAAATCGACGAATGTGAAAGCACTGAGCAGGTTTGCATTGCGGCAAAACGGGAAAACCGTCGCGGTAGGCATCGTAACGGATGTTCTCAAGTCCGAGGCAATCGGGACACCCGGCGAAAGCGCAATAGAATAGAGAAGGGGCCGCAAGGGACCGGCTGTATCTATATCAAACAGTAGTAGCAGTAGTCAGTAGTGCAGTATGTCGCTATAGACAACGAATACAAGAGCATTCTAACGTGACTATGCATCGTAAACAGATGCTTTCCGACGGAAGAGACAAGACTAAGATGACGTGGGCATCTCGGAACGATTTATCTCTACAAGGCTAGTGTTGTAACCGGAGCTGCGCACGAGAAGTACCTTTGACAGTCAGCAGATAGATTATCTTTAGTAACACGACGGGAGAGTAAAAATTCAGCAAGAGTCTCGGGAAAAAAGACGGTGAGAAAAGTCAAAGTACAAGACAAGACCGTAAACGCAACCGCAACTGGTGGCCGTCTAAAACAGCAGGTCCGGATCTGCCCCGCCTGTGTGAGCGTCGATAATGGACGGGGCTGTGCCATTAGCGGTGGCTGAAAACGAGGCCTGATCAAAGCCAACGAGGGCCTGTTTCCGCTTCTCCTCAAGCGCCTTGCCCTCTGCTTCCAATTTCTCCTTGTCTTTCTTGTTCTGGATCAGTTTGAGTCTAAAGAACTCCTCCCTCTCCATCTCATCCAACTCGGATATGACGTAGGAGATGGTATTTTCCAGCTTGGGCTTGACGACGTTTTCCAGGGCGTTGACGCGGCGGTTGGTGAGCTTGATAGCCTCATCCAAAATAATGAAGGAAGTCTGCAACGAAGCGAGCGAAACAAGCAAGTCAAGCGTCTCCGAAAAGGACTTGCGCGCATCCTGGATCTGCTGTCCACCCTTGGACAGCCCCGCGAGCGACACCGCACCTTTCCCGTTACCCGCGACATCCTTCGAGGCTGCCCCAGCAACTGACGGCGGCGCGTCGTCGTCCACGTCGATGCCCATCTTAGCGAAATTGGGGATGCTCACGCCCGCGACGTTGTCCGGAGTCATTCTGACGCGCAGGGTAGCGTCATCGACGTTCTCAATGACGATATGCTTGAGGTTATCGCCGTATGCATACTTGGCGAGCGCGAGCGCGAGCATGGCTTCCTTGCTCTCCTCGCCGGCGCCCTCTTTCTTGGCGAGGATGTCAGCGAGAATGGAGCGGAAGCGGACAAGCAGCGCGTCGGACTTCTTCTTGAGCATGGAGTGCCCCTTCTTCGCGCCGGCGAGCTTGGACTTGACCTGCTGCAGCGCCATGCGCGAGGGGACGACAGTGAGGCGTTGGCTGGACGACATAGTGGGGCGTGGGTTGCGGGGTAGCGGTGGACGTGGGCGGGGCGAGGGGAGGTTATATGAAGGAGTCGCGTGGCGCTCCCACACTCATGAATTGCGGAAGCACGGGAAGTTTGACAGGGGGGCTGTCAACGGATCGCTGGGCGATGGCGACGCGGAAGATGATGGGCGAGGGCAGAATGTGTGCATCCCAGTACAGACGGGTGCGGGTCGGGGCCGGACAATCGGTGGCAGGCACCACGTTTCTTCCGTAACCGGTGCCGCAGGAGCTACAGTAACTCGCTTGCCCCCTCGCACTGTACTACACACCCTTTACAGTGAGCACTCTGCAGTAAGCACTGTAAGCATATCAGCACCTTCTGTAATTTCCCGTGCGTAGCTGCGCCACGTGTTGTCTACACCTTATCATACGGCGTCCATGCTCACCACCCCGTCCACTTTTCCCCGTTACATCCCACTCAAACTCAATCACACTCAATCTACCTCCCCGCCCCTTCCTCACACACCACATTCACCACTGCCACCTTCACCACCCCGTCAAACTCCAAGAATGAGCTCTCCCTTTCCAGCACCAACTAACTCATCTCCCCCTTCCCTCTCTCCCCTCCCTTCCGCTCCCGCGATGGCACCCTCCCGCCCGCCCGTCACGGACGTGGGCATCCAGGCCATGTCTCTCTACATCCCGCGCACCGCCGTTTCGCAGGCCGCTCTCGAGGCCTTCGACCACACCCCGACGGGCAAGTACACCCTCGGTCTCGGCCAGGCCCACATGTCCTTCGTCTCGGATCGCGAGGATGTCGTCTCGCTGGCCCTCACAGCCGTCGCTGCCGTCGTCCGAGACGCGCAAATCCCCTACGAACAGATCGGCCGCCTCGAGGTCGGCACCGAGACCATTGTCGACAAGTCCAAGAGCATCAAGACCGCCCTCATGCAGCTCTTCGAGGACTCGGGCAATGCGGAGGTCGAGGGCCTCGACAACACAAACGCATGCTACGGGGGCACCGCCGCCCTATTCAACTCCCTCGCCTGGATGGAGAGCTCGGCTTGGGACGGCCGCTATGCCGTCGTTGTCGCCGCCGATATTGCCGTGTATGAGCCTGGCCCGGCAAGGCCCACTGGGGGGGCCGCCGCCGTCGCCATGCTGTTGGGGAAGGGCCCCAAGGCCGCGCTTCGCTTCGAGATCGGCCTCCGCTCCACCGCCATGGGGAACACCTACGATTTCTTTAAGCCGCATCCGGCTGTCGAATATCCAGTCGTCAAAGGGCAGGAGACCGTGGATACTTTCGTGCGTGCGATGGATGATTGCTACGACCGGTATAGGGCGAGGGCTAAATTGAAGGATGGCCGGCCATTTGACGTCGCCACGGGTACCGATTATGTCATCTTTCACGCTCCGTTCAATAAGATGGTTGTCAAGAGCTTTGCGAGGCTCCTATTTGCTGACTTTTTGGCAAGCGCCGAGGGGGAGAAAGAGATTTACAAGGACGTGGAGAGGTGGAGGGGGATATCGCGGGATCGCGCCCATTATGATCGCGAGGTCATAGCTGCTTTCGTCAAGATTGCAAGGCCCATGTATGAGCGCCAGTGCAAACCAGCGGCGTGGATTGGCGTAGAAATCGGCAACTGTTACACGGCGTCGTTGTACTCGCAGCTGGCGGCTCTGTTATATGAGAAAGGGGACGAAGTGGTGGGGAAGAGAGTGCTAATGTACTCTTTCGGGTCTGGGTTTGCGGCGTCGATGTTCTCAATGCGCGTTGTTGGGGAGGTAGAAGGGGTTGTCGGGAAGATGCAATTGAGAGAGGTTCTAAGAGAGCGAGTGGTTACGACTCCAGAGGAATACGCAAAGTGTTTGGAGAGGAGAGAGGAAAACTATTGTAGGGTAGATTATGTGCCAGAAGGGGAGGTGGAGGAGCTGTTTCCGGGGACCTTTTATTTGAAGCGTGTGGGGAAGCAGGGGGAGCGGGAGTATGATCTCGTGCCGTTTCGGTGAGGATGGCAGGGTGATGATGGATGAAGTGTTGAGATGTGGCGAGAAGAACTAAGGACAAGTAGTGATGGGAGAAAGACTGAATTCGACGGTTGTCGTCCTCTAAGCCGTGCGGCTTCTCCCGTAACATTGCGTTGCACTAAGAGCGGCGCAAATGTTTCAAGACCAGGACAATCGGGTAGCGTAAACAATGGACAGCTCCTGATCTCGGTGTCGCAGAATCGTGATCACGGTGCATTTCAGGCTCTATCTCAACTGTCGAGCTCGACGTTTCCGACCAATCAACACACGCTAAAGAATTGAAGGTATGATCGGGCACAATACTGTTTATGTATTGGCCGTTTCTTATGACAGCTGTTACAGTATGAGGGGAGGCCATGGAAAATCTATTGCTGGCCCGCACTCGCGGGAGACGCCCTCTTCCCACTCGCAAACATCACAGGGTGCTCGACATTAATGCAAGCAAGCTGGAGGCGTTTTAATTCCCTCTTTACAAACAGAAAGTACGTCACATGGAGTGATCATATACCGCGAAGCAAACATCACATGAACACTGGCTTTGGCTGTCCCGCTTCACCTGCACCCGCGGTTCAGGTTCACACTACATTCAAAAAGGCGTTCACTTTCTTCAAAATTATCCAGCCCAAGCCTCAGATGACGACCTTATATGTGTCAATGCATATTGGGCCTTCTACTTTCAGTACGTTAGTCTTTCAAATCGATCAGCCCGATAGTGCAGAAGCAAGTCCTCTAATTCAACTCAAATCACCGCCCTGGTGATTAGGGCTACCAGAACAGAGCGAGTCTACGCGCTCGTTGCACAGGCCGCAATGCGAAGCACCCTCCGCACACCTTTGAAACCCCAATCTTATCCTTCCTGAAATCAAGCAGCTACGGGCTGTGATCTCGCAATTCCTCGCCGCGAAATTTAAATTAGTTAGAGATGCCAGATGAGATGCCTGAGGAGTACCAGTGCGGATAGCTTCTGTAATGGACTTCACAGAGGAGAGAGCTCTTCTCTGAGCTCCATCCCAAGACTCCAGAAGGTTGCAAATACTTTGAGCAATTCACGTGTAAACGAATTCATGCGGATTCCTCAGCATCCATCACCTCACCGCATCCTTAGCCTGTCACGGATCACTCGATCAACAGGGATCGCCGAAAATCTTCCTTACTGTGACGAGGCCTGGCTGAAATATTTGAGAGAACTTATTGCCTTGAAGGTCACAGTAGAGCCGCGGAGAGAAACTTTTGTCTTTGACTCGTCACCCTATGCCATGGTCACCGAGAGGACGGGCACCATCGAAGAGAAGATCTTGGAAATCATAGTGAGGAGTCACGAGTTAGTGGCAGTGAACTTGTTTGATATTGTTCTGGGCAGTCCCGAATGCTACTCTTGATGTTGGTAATGAGTTGAGCTCTACAGTATGCGGGTTTCAACTCGGGCGCTACGACGTTCGTTTATGTAGGCAATCGTGGAACTCTTCTGCATAGTGCGCTGCAACTAGGCCCATGTTTGTTTATTGTTATGAATATGTTAGCCCTGCTTTCGCCATCCGTTCTTCCATGCCCTTCAATCGGCCATCTATGATGATTATCTCTGGCTTTTGAGCCGTATAGTTGTTTTTTACAAATGGTATACGAATCCGATACGTGATTGTTGGACAACAGAGTTGAGGAGGAAGGCGATTTGTCAAAACAGATGAGATCTCTGTAACATCATGGGCTAAGAGCAGCGCAATGACCTGCTTTATAACTGTACTTAGCTATCTGTCCCATTCATGCATACCATATGATGCTTTAGGAGCATCGGGAATGCCTGGTACAAAAGTTAGCAAATGCCACACAAACATCTAAATTAGATATCATGCGGCCAGTGCAGAACACGAAGAGTGACAGTCAATTTGCAAAGGCAAAAAAGGGTATTGCGAAGTCGTTAAACTAGATGATACTTCATGAAACAAAACAGGGGAACTTTAGCCACAGTAGATACAAGGATGGCAATGAAGCCATGTGAGGCTACCTTCTCAATAGATTCGAGGATTCTGTAAGCGGTCCTTGAAGGGTGCCATACTACTATGCCGTACTATTTTGTGGTAAGTACCTTCGAATGCAACGTAAGGTGAGATGGGACAGAAAATTGTAGTTTGGAATCCCAAGTATAAAATGCAACAATGAAGCAGTGAGATGAGTCGTATTTAGACCAACCTGCACGCAGTATAAGGCCCCCTGTCGAAGTCCTTTGGAGTTCAAACACATATTCTGAACATTGTCCCTTTCTGCGATTGAATACTAAAGTGTCTGTGTCCCTCGATTCTACTTTGCCTTTTCAGAGTTGATTCTACTCTGGGGGCGAGGGTTGAGGTGCCCGCGGACTCGTTCTTTCCTGATAGCCCTGATGTTTTAGGTTGAATTAGAGGACTTGCTTTCTGTACTATCGGGCTGACCGATTTGAAAGACTAACGTACTGAAAGTAGAAGGCCCAATATGCATTGACACATATAAGGTCGTCATCTGAGGCTTGGGCTGGATAATTTTGAAGAAAGTGAACGCCTTTTTGAATGTAGTGTGAACCTGAACCGCGGGTGCAGGTGAAGCGGGACAGCCAAAGCCAGTGTTCATGTGATGTTTGCTTCGCGGTATATGATCACTCCATGTGACGTACTTTCTGTTTGTAAAGAGAGAGTTAAAACGTCTCCAACGTGTTTATTTTGTCGCGCAACTTAGAATTGATGAGATGGGGATTTTTTTATTGCGAAGTGGAAAATGTGAAGAGAAAACGCAGCACATCGCGTGACGTTCACATTTGGGATGTTGCACCAGATACTCTGTGAATAGCTGCAAGCGAAAAGATCTACGGAGAATTTTGACGATAGGCATGTTCTTTTACGGAATTCTGCGCTTCCGTACTTAGGCCAGAGCTTTCGAATAGGATTCTGATCCCACGAATCGAATCCAGCAGATTCAAAGGCAACAGGCGCAGCACTCTAGAGGAAGCATTGCTCCTCGCTGTTCTGCGATGTGACTTACCTGTCAAGACTCTGAGGCTTTCGGAACCCGCCGACCATCATAATCAGGATTACTATTCTTAGCTCCCTCTTCTCGTGGAAAAAGAGTGACCTTGAAAAGATAACACTCGTGGATACCGTACGCTGTTCAGAAGACTAGCCCCGTGACTTCTCAGACATGCGTACAGTAGCTCTGTACAGTACAAGGGTACTGCACGCATGGGATAGGGTTGTGATAAGCTCGGACATCCCGTACGGATTCCGGGTGAAACGTGTAGGGTCTACCGCTGGTACTCTCGCTGTGACGAGGACGAGAGAAGGTCGGGTGAAACCTGAGATCCAGCACAGGTGCTCGGCTTGTCTGCCGTTGTCTTTTTCCGCAAGCTACCTCCTCTTAAATATGTCTGCTCTCTGCTCCTCCTATTCGCTTCGCACCTATCCATTGTTAGCTAATCGGGCTGTGCCGATATGCGTTCTGCCCTTTTCGCATTGCCTCTGCACGCCTGTAGACCCCTGTTGCCTCCTCTTTGCATTCGCCCTTGCGCGATTGCGTTTCCAACCATTCGCCATAGTCATGCTTGACCCATGGCTTTCCTACCTCCGCAGTTTTGCAGAGGGCTGACCCTTCGCTCCATGCTTGACCTTCACATATTCGCTTTTCTTGACCCTCGCATATCCGCGATGAGTACAGTATCGCTGGCATATCCACTGCCAGATCGGCAATAAAAAAGCCGCGATCTGGTCGTAGTTGATGTAGTCATGGATTTGCTGCTGTACATCTTGCCTCGTGCATTCCGCAACAATAGCGCACAGTATGCCTGCCTGAGTATTGGCCTGCCTTGGTTGGGGGTGTGGGAAGGAGGGAGGATGAGGTCAAAATCGATATAGAAATTTCACACAAACAGTATGATACAGTAGCTTTCGGTCGTTGAACACGGAGACGTGGTAGTGATTGTTGTGAGGGCGGGAAACGTCTACGGGAAAGCAGTGGTGCGGTTGCTCGCTGCCGCCTCCGATCCCCTAACACTCGCAGCTTCTCCCAAGATCCCCGGCCCGACACAATCTGAGAACAAAGTATTTCCTGCGCCGCTCCATGTGCTTTGGAAAGAAAATTCAATGCGACCCTTAACGACTTCGGTCACCGCCCTCCGCTTCGTGACGCTATCAGCTGAGGACACCAATGAGGCAGTCGATACGCTGTTTGCTGCCATTGGCAACCAACTTCACGTCTTCCTGAACAAGTCCGGAAAAGCTGTTGCCGCAACGACAGCTCTACCCGATGGAGAACGACTCCATGGCTTCTCGGCACCATGGCGCAATCGAGTAATAGTTCATGGTGGCCGTTTCGTCGCAATCGTCTCTGCTCGCTTTTTAATTGGCAACTGTACTGGCTCTCTCGAGATTGAGGCATGCCGAGAGTTTGGCGACTGGGTTTGGGGCGGGCTTTGGATTCAACCCCCACATGTTCTCGCAGTAGCGTGTGGCCATTCTAGGGTTGCGATTTGCGACAGTCGGAATTTGCAGGATAACCTAGTGGTGCAATGTGAGGAAAGAGAAATAACATGGTGCACACAGCTTTTTATGTCGCCAGGGAAATCCGCTCTTAGGGCAGTTGGCGGCACTTCCTTCGGTGACATTCTTGTCTGGGATGTTCTGGATCAAGTAGCAGAACCCCAATTTTCATTGAAATCACACGAGGAAAACGATGCAGATGATCGTTTCTCACTTGCAGCAAATGTAAAGCCGGCTCATCGTTTGCAGGGTCATGATGGTCCTGTTATGAGCCTTGAGCTATCCTCCGATGCGAGTCGTATGGTTTCATGCTCGGTCGATAGATCGGTGCGAGTTTGGCGGAGGTCTGCGTCAGACCACTGCTCGGTCTGCCGAGCAGGGGGATGTTTCCTCCCGGTTCTTTGTCACTACGGGCACCTTGCTCGTATTTGGGACACTGGTTTTTTGGATTGTGAAAGTCTGCGGGTTGTCTCGGTTGGGGAGGATAGGACGTGTCGAATGTGGTCTGACAAAGAGAGCGGTAGACTACTTTCTGTTCTCTACGGACATGCTGGAAGGAACATTTGGAGCCTTGACGTAAGGCACGTGAATCAGCGGAGCACCTTGATTGCCACAGGCGGCGAAGATGGCTGCATTAAAGTTCGTGGCGTGGGGATACCTGACGATGATAAAGGGTCTCCTGGAGAGACGCGTACCGTGAACGATACGGGCGCACCGCGCCAATCTACTAGTTATTCTGTTGTACTGCCTGGAAATCTATCGAATCCGAGGAAAATCGGCGGTGGCTGCAACGAAAGCGGGCGAACAATTCGATTAATTGCCAGAAATGCTTTTCTCGTATCAACTGACTTCGGACGCATTCTAGCAGGCTTCACCGACAGGAAGGGAAGCTCTCGTCGAAACGTTTCTACAGAAAGAACCTTCGACAAGGCCACAGGAATTGGCGTTAGTTGGATAGAACTTTTCTGTGACAGCAAAGGAACAGCGTACACGCCGTCATCATTGGAATATTGTGATGGCTTAATCTTTGGTGGGCAGACGAACGGTCATGTCACAATATTAAGGATCTCGGACTTGTTTAGCCAGGCCCCAGTGATATCTACGGCTGCTGATGTTCATGTGTTCCCGCATGATTCAGGAATGGTCATGGGCCTTTTTGTTCAAAAATCGAGCGCCAGCGATGTTTGGAACTTCTTTGCTGCTACAAACACTGGAGATTTACATCACTGGCAGATTGAAGAGCCAAGATCTGAAATTACATGCACATATCACCGAACCTTTCGACAACGAAAGCCAACAAAGAGCGCCCTTGTAACTAGTGCTCTACATATTGCCTCGCACGACATTTTGGTTGTTGGAGACCGTGGCGGACGAGTCCTACTGTATAATACAACTGATGCGAAATCGTCTGACACAAACGGTATCAACTCACAGATGGATCAAAAGGATGTCTTTCCAGTTTTCATCAGCCGGCCGCATGGCGACCGAGTTTCATCGATCTCAATGGCCCCAGGGCAAACTCCAGATGCCAACATGAGGTTTTGCGAAATTGTCACGACGGGATTTGACGGACGAGTTGGTCGCCTGCAACTAGATCTACATGCAGTTCAAACCAAGAAATTGCCTCAGAACAATCCTGGCGCTTGTCAATTACCAATGAACGTTATAAGTTCGCACAAGTCTATAGAGCATGTAGACACAATCGTTAGGATCGTGTTCCCACGTATGAGCAGCCCTGAGGAGGGCGAAGTGTCGGTCAAAGGGGGGGAAGATGTGAGGCATTGTATTATAGGGTTTAAGTCTGCCGATATATCTGTTTGGGACGTGCAGCAACGAAACGAAGTGTTTCGGACCAACTGCGGAAACTGGCGAAGAGCATTTGATGTGCATGTGGCCCTTGCATGCCCAGTCATGTCAGGCAGCGGAACGCAACTAGTCGTGGAAGAAATGAATATTGTGTTTTGGCGTTCGGGACGGTTGTACGTGGTGCAGACAGAAGGTGGCAATGCCGATATGCTCCGTGTGAACAACGCGGAAAATTGGACAGCAGACAAAATGAAGTCGAAGGGATCATCAGCGAGAATAGATACCTTTGTTACATCCATCCGGCCTGGTTTCCACGGACAGCGAGCCAACGCAGTGTGTTGGATAGATGGGTCAAGCACGCTGTTGACTGCTAGTGAAGATACAAGTATCAACGCGATGAAGCTACGAGATGACGAATGGCACAAGATTCAGAGCCTGTCAAGACATATTTCCGGTGTGAACAGCCTCTCGACCTCGCGCCTCTCCAACGGTTCTCTAGTAACATTTTCCGGGGGCGGCTGTGACGAAGTGGTGACTTGGATCGCGCAAAGCGCAGAAGGTCCCTGGAGAGATGTGTGCTCGACAGCAGGCAGTGCGAAAGAGGACAAAGGCCAAAGAGCGCTGCACCGCGTAATATGTTTAAGCACTGTAGATGCGAAGAGGTGCAAGTGCAAAGTTGCGTGCGGGATGGTGGTGGCGGGGCGCTCTGACGGTTCGGTAGCGTTATTGAGATCAGCCCCCGCTGTCGGGGGCATGTACCGGCAAGCTGGGAAAGAGTGGAATTGCGGGACGGTTCAGAAGTCGTTCGAGCATAGCGGAGCGGTGCTCTCTTGCGCGACGGCAGTTGCTGAGGTCGGGGGAGAGGAAAGGGTAATTGCAGCAAGCGGAGACTCCCAAGGGAGAGTAGTCGTATGGACAGGGGAGCTGAATCCGGCCTGTCTACAGCGGCGGCTTAAAGCTATCTGCACATGGGAGAAAGAGCATGACGGCGGGGTGAATGCTATAGCAGTGCGTGCCATGAAAAATGGGATGTATGGGAGTGTAGTGGTGGTATCTGGAGGGGATGATGAGAAAGTGCGCATCAGAGTGATAAGAATAACAGGCACGGTAGACGGGGAAAGGGCCGATGTGCGCACTGAGACGACGACAGTATGGACGTCACCTAGAGGATTGCATACGGCTGCGGTGACTGGCCTGTCCTTTGCGACAGATGAAGCGAGCAAGGAAGGGGCGGAGGACGAGTGGTTCGTAGCAACAACTGGGGCCGATCAGCGAATCAACTGGGTACATATTTATCGCGGCAGAGACGAGGCGAACAAGGGGGTATGGCTGGCAAATTTGGTAGAAGAGGGAAGGAGCAGGGTCAATGTGGCGGATGTGGGGGCTATCGCAGCACGCGTATCGCGTAGCGGGCGACGGGTTTGCGCTCAAGCTGTGATAGCAGGATGTGGGCTGGAAGCGGTGGATTGCTCATGGCAAGTGAAGGCGGAGGACAGGGGGTGAGCGGCGCAAGGCAATAGGGTCTGCTGGATTTCGACGTGCACTTAACGGAGATGTTTTCACTGAGCGAATGAGGAGGGAGGCGGTTTGAGGTGCGAGGAAGCGTGCCTTTCGCCATTTGCATAGAGAGAGCATCTGGTTCCAGATGTATGGATAACATCTGCACTGTCGCAACAGGAGTGACAGCAATGCATCACTACCTCTCGTGAGAGGTAGCTGTTTGCTACCGCTCGTACTCCTGGGCCAACAAGTGCAATTACAAAACGCCTTAAACATTTACCGCCGCCCACGGCGTTTTTATTATCTAGCCGTTAAAAAATGCTAAATTGCAGGCGGGTCACCACCAATCCTGCCGTGCGATGGCCTACAGCAGACCGCTGTTGTAATTATTGACACACCACGCAATCCAACCAACTTCTTTTTGGCAAGGTACAGTACCATCTGCCCTGCCGACGAGCCAGAGTGCCCATTCTTCTCTTCCCTGGAACCTACTCTCCCTTGCTGCCCCCTCCATCCTCTGGAAGCAATCAGGTGACGCTCCGTCGCGACGACTACGCTAGCTTCAACCACGCGACCGCTGCCACCTGCTTTCAGCTGTCCTTTTATCTCCCGCAGTGTTTTTGTTGTACCCACCGCTCCTCACGCCCCTTGCACTTCACATCCCTCTGATTTTGGACGCTTTCGTTCTGCACGCCTTCATCCCGCTGTGCCGAAAGCAAAACTCACCCGGAACAAAATTACTAGCCCCCATCACTCATTCCGATTCCCGACCAAAGCAAGCCTTCCGCTTCAAGCACTCCTTTTGACGGTGCTCGCCTCTTGTGCAACCGCAGTCACTCCTGCCCGATTTTGCATTCTTTTGCTACACTTCAACTGCTTTTCCTCGCAGCTTGCCCTCCATTTTCAATTCTTCAAACCTTTTTGGCGTCCGCTCTGCTCGTGTTCAGGACCGCCTCTTGACCCCGCCTCCAACGCTTGAATATCGCATTTGAGACGCGATACTTGCATTCGCGGCCTGAACGGCTAGTGCTGCACAAGGCTGTGAGCGTTCTACGCATTTCTTTATTTGCCGCGCACCAAACCGAGCTTATTTCCGCACCACCAGCCTCTGTCGGCGCCCCCTGCGTCTCTCTCTTGCACCAGAGAACGCGGCCCCACGCGCGCCAACGCCATGGATTTCGCGCTCGGGCTTCTCGCCCGCGTGTCCGAGGGGCAGAAGAAGGCGGCTGCGGCCGAGAAGCGACGCGCGGCTGCGGAGGCGGCGGCGCGGCGGCGCGCCGCCGATGAGCGCGCGCAGCGCGACAGGGAGCGCGCGCAGCAGGGCGTCAACCGCCTGATGGCGCGCAGCGGGCCCAAGCCGCGCATCCCCAGGCGTCGCTCCACGCCCAAGAAGACCGCCACCGCCGCTAAGAGGGCCGTCACCCCCGAGGAGGCCGCCACCCGCTTGCGCGCCGCGTCCGCGCAGAGGTCCGCGCGCGAGGTCGCACGAGAGAGGCAGAGGAAGAACACGGGCCCGCCGAAGCCCATGAAGGGCATGCAGTTTGTGGAAAGGCGGGATAAGAAGAAGGAGATTAACGTGCCCCATACGAGCGACTATTCGGACTTGTTTGGAGATGATTATCTCGTGGGTATTGACTTGAAGTGCGTCACGAAGATGAAGGAGGAGTCGGCAAAGGCTGCAAAGGAGGCGGAGAAGATTCACGCAGAGCATGAGGCCCAACGGCAAAAACGCTTGAAGGAGGCTGAGGAAATTGCAAGGGAGGCGGCCGAAATGAAGCGCAGGGGAGTCAACCAAAAGGAAACGAACGTGTGGCGTCTGAAGGCTACAGAAAAGGACTGGGTTGCTGTTGACATTCCTACGAATGCCCTCACCCCGAGCGAGAGAGCGCATCTGAAAGCAAGTTCGTCCTCCGCACAACCATCGCGTTTGGGTGTCGCGTCTAACAGTGGCATCACCAAAGTCTCCAAAGCGAAACGAGAAGCACTTGGCGCAGCCGAAATAGCCAAGAAGAAGGCAGCGTTAAGGCAGTCAATTCTTGCGGCAACGGGTGGTGCTAAGCCAGCGAGAACGAACCGTGTACGGTCCGTGAGCAGCTCTCCTGAAAGAAGACCTATGCCGTCTGGAAAGCGAAAGAGAGCACTGGATGATGATCGACGCAGTCTTGATCGGCGATCCGGAGATAGACGTCCTGCCGAGCGTCGTTTAGTGTCCGACCGCAAATACGACCGATCTGCGAGGGACGACCGGAGACCAAAGAAGCCACGTTATGATGATCGAAGCATGGGATACAATAGCGAGGAATGGGGCGACGAATTAGATGGCGACGATGACGACAACGACGAGGACTTGTTCGGTATCGAAGCTCTGGATAGGGAGGAGGAAGAAAGTGCTCGTCTGGCCGCCATTGAAGATCGACGAGAGTTAAGACTCGACGCTCAACGGAGGAAGGAAAAGAAGCGACGACGAGAGGAGTACGAAAGACGTCGCTGATAGAGAGGACGCTTGAGATATGCGAGTAGGCGGCTCCCAGTTTGCCCATTTGATAGTTGTAGGTAGTGAATTTCAGGAGGATGAACTGCAGCTTTACATTGACTGTCACAATGTCGAGCCTTCCCGGACGTCTGTAGAGGAAGAAAAAGGCTATCTCAAACACCTGGGTGAGACAGAGTTGAAGGCTGAACGAAAGCGCTCAAGGGAAGGTTACCAGCATGTGGGGAATTAGCCCACGTCTTTGCAATGTCGTAGCCGACGCAGGGTTCTATGATACTGTAGAAGTAGATTTTTATAAACACGACAAGACCAGTTATTCCTGAGGATTCTCCCGAAGAGTGAACCAATGCAATTAGCATGACAAGGGGCCTCCTATGTATTTGCATCTCTGGTCCCAGATCCGGATTGCGCACCGTCTGCTGTGTTAGTGCCCTCCGGGGGGGCTGTCGCCGGAGCAGCTTCATTACCACTTGAAAGTTTTGCTTTAACCCCAATCGTAGTATTGGTTTTCGGAGTGGTAGGGTGGCTCTGATCTGCGGGTGCTTGGTTTGAAGATTCAGGGGCTAGCTTCGGACTTCTACTTCTGCCTTCCGTGTGCGGATTCTCCATCCCATCCGCTTCTTTTTTCAAACCTTCTACATTCTGGGGCGCAAGTACAGAGTTTTCAGTGTCATTTGCAGCACCACTTTCGCTGGCGATACCTTTAGAGGCTTCTGTGGCATTCAAAAGGCTTTTCTCCTTATCTTGTTTCTCCTTTTCCTCCTTCGGTTTTGAGGGACACGCGGCTTCTCTCAGATTCATTTTTGCAAGTTGGTAGTAGTGCCTGAAAGTCCCGATGCAGCATGACGTCTTCATAACCTCGACTATTAAGGTGACATCAGGAGAAGTTAAATTAACCTTATATCGCGGTTCGCACTCCTCAATTGCTTTTGCGATAACTTTTATAAATTCCTCTCGGTGTGCGCTCGTGTTCAGTCTTGACCTGAATGATATAGCATAGGAAACAGGTTTGCCTTCTGCCACCATAGGCGGGAAATGCTTCTTGACAATCTCCACTGCGGCTTTCGCGGCATCTTCCGGCTTCGCATAGCAAGTGCTGTGGATAGGCATAATTCGGATGCAATGCCTCGAATTTGGCGACCCAGAAGCACGTGCATCCTTCAGTGCACACTCTACTACATTCTCTAAGTCAACGTGGGGTCGATTGATTTGAATAAAGATGCATCCGTTGACTCCGCCATCAATGCGAGTGAAAAGTCTTTGCTTGGGGTCTCGAATCTCTTTTAGCTCAGCCTGTAAAGCCTTTGAGAGATCTTCTTCTCCATTTTCAGAGTTTCCTTTAATCCCCTCTTCTTCTTTTTTCTTTGTGTCTCCTTTCGTCCCTTCTCCCTCTTTGTTCTCAGAGTCTCCTTTCGTCCCTTCTCCCTCCTTCTTTTCCGGGGCTTCTTTTTGGTTTTCACCGCCACTATGGTGCGCGGCTGCAGAAATATCATCCGCTTTCCCTTCGCCACTGTTCTCGCAATACTTCCCAAGCATGATGACGGCCTCCCGGAATGCGTGGTTTTCATGACGAGGAGTGCAACTGATGAGAATTCCTTGCAGCCCGTATCCCAGATCCTTTCGGTGTTGCGTCGAGTTTATGGTCCTGCGAAACTTGTTGCGGTCGTGGCGATTACGGTTGCCATTGCGCCTTCGTTTCTTTCCAACGTCTCCACCCATGTCTTCTCGCGATCCTGAACGTCTGAATTCTCAACTAGTTTTGGAGATGAGCGAAGGAGCTCAGACCAGTTACACACGATGGCTTGCTAAAGTTGTGGTTTGCGTATGGTGACGTCAAATAGGACCTTTTGGTAAAAGAGGGGGACGACGGAAGCTTGGCCGGAAAGATCAATTTCATCAGTACAGTACCAAGGGTACCTGGTTTCGCTCAAGTATATTTTGATATTATTAAAAAATGACTTTGCTGGCTTCCCGTTTTGCTTCTTGGGGCCCAGTTTATTCGCAGAGTTGTTGCAAGTACCGAAGCTCAGGCGACTTAAACTCAATCGAGGTCAAAATCACTGAGGATCAGTAGCCAGACAGCGTCTTTCTTCCCACCGCGGAACAAGCGTTGTACTGTACATCGTTCTCTTCTTCATTTCGCACACCAGAGAAAATTTCTGTGTTTGAACCCTATTGATCGGCTCACCGACGCCTTTTGTGTTTCCGACAGTACATGGACAGGTTCACGATGAGCCTGAAGACCCATGTCGTTTATCAAGAAAACGCATTTGTGACTGTACGGGAAAAAGTCGAACCTCGATTGACCGAAGTCTTAAATTCGCCACTTTTGGCTTACGGGAGTGATCCGGATAGCAACTTAAACTAGCAGTCTAAGCTTCTATGCGCAGTTTCGCCCTAGGCTCCTTCCTACCCATTGTACACCGATGATTTGTTTGATAAACCAGATCAAAAATGATGAAGTATTGCAGTTGGCCTATCTAAGCTTGTCGTGCCTTTCCAGCAAACGCACCACAGAAAAATGTTCCTACTCTTCCGTCGTGCTTCATAATGTAGTAGAAACTCAGGAAAAGCAGCGTAACAGAGGTATTGCTCATTTCGAATGGCGATGAGCACTCGTTAGCTTTCTTCAGATATCGCAAAATCAAGGACAACAGGATTGAAGGCAGAGACAAATTCGTCAAGTTCAACACGCCACTTGAGCGACACTTCTCCAGCTCCCAGCCAAAAGGTGGGGGGATCCAGCTGAGCAATCTGCTTTGCGAGCACGACTGGCATTCTCGTTTTGAGGCCGAGTGGAGTAACAGCGTTAGGCTCGTACCCTGTCACACCAATGCAATCTTCAGCAAGCCTGTAGTTGAAGTGGCGAGCGCTGGGGACCTGTAAACCGCGTTCTCCAAAAAGCTTCCGCACAGCATCGCGAAGTGCATCTGAATTGATTTTGGTTGAATACGGTACGACGCAGCAAAGAAACTTGGAGCGAAGCACATCATCTGGGTTATGATCACCGTCGTGACGAGTGTTTTGCAATACTATCGATTTTGTCAGGTGATGCAAGCTAGCTCCACGTAGCAAGCCGCGTCTTTTCTCGAGTGGCCATGAGTAATACTCGTCAGGGCAACGTGTGAATAGTGTTTTCGTGAAACCAGCAGCAGTCGCCGCGACCAACACTCGCAGCGCAAACGGATCTGTCGCAGCCTCGGGACGTCTGCTTTTTGAAGACGGAACAAATTTACCTGAAGATTCCAGAGCTTCTACCTTGCAAGTCAGTTCCAAAAGAATTTTCTGCGGCTCCAGCTGTTCCGTTGTTGATGATGATTGTGTCATTGTGCAATGACCTTATTTTCTTTTGCTCAGGACCAATTGTTCCCTTCTTGCGAAGTCAGACCCTACATACACTTGACGCAAGCAGGGAGAGAAGTCTAATTTGGTAAGGGTTGATAGTCTCACGGATATCGCACCTTTTCCAACACCCTGTCAGAGCCTCTGCAACCTTAAGATAATACAGTAGAGGCGCACTTGTACTGTTCTGTGCTGTAGCATTCAACTGTCGGAGCAAGAGTGACGATAGGATAACTCGAGTGTCGATCCCATCACAGCAATGCAACTTTTTGAGCAATAATTTCTATCGTTTCTTCTTCTCGGTGGTCAATTCAGCGGCGGCGCATTTTGCTCCAAGCAGCCTCTGCCTGGGTTATGTTCGTTAGTACGAAACCTAAGACTCTCACTTCCGAAATCACATTGCTGCGACGCCATGGCGACGGCCGGGAAATGGACTGCACTCCAAGGTGCTTCCTTGGATAAGACTATTGAGCAAGCTTTGACAAATACGCTGTCATTTCCGCGCATGACGCCAGTTCAAGCAGCTGCTATTCCTCCGCTCTTATCTTCGAAGGACGTCTGTGTGGAAGCCGAGACAGGATCTGGGAAAACACTCTCCTACCTTGTCCCAATTGCACAAACCGTTCTTTTCGAGAAGCGTGCGAAACCGTCAAGCGCTGTTCGGGCCCTTGTCATCGCGCCGACTCGTGAGTTGGCTACACAGGTGCATGCAGTTGCCAAGCATCTTTTCGACGCTTTACCTGGTGACCTTGTTCCAGTCCCGCTGATTGGAGGTGGAACAGCGTCTGCAGCGCCGGACGATTCTTTTCGCGGAGATTTCCGCGTTCTGATTGCCACGCCAGGTCGGCTCGCTGCGGCTCTGAACCAAGGCTTTCTGAATGTTGCAAAACTTGAAGTTCTCGTCTTAGACGAAGCAGACCGGCTGCTGGATATGGGGTTTTCAGTAACGCTCACGGACATTTTAACACGATTGCCTCGTCAAAGAAGAACAGGAATCTATTCGGCCACTCAGACTGCGGAGGTAGAAGCGCTTGCTCGCGCTGGGCTGAGAAACCCGGTCAGGGTCGCCATCAAAGTACATATGCGCAATGGAACCGGGCAAGATGGTGATTCCAAATCTACAGCGAAGCGGCAGCGAACGCCTGCCTCCTTGCAATGCCGGTACCATATTGTTTCGCCTCGCGAAAAACTTGCGCACATGGCATATCTTCTGGCCAGTCACCCACAACAAAAATTTATCGTGTATCTCATGACATGTGCGTTTGTGGACTATTTCCTTCGGCTACCTCTCGCCGAGATACTAGAGGTCGCGAGCAAAGATGTCACGTCCTCTGAAGAATCGCTATCCCCTTCCCCGAGGCCAATCTGCGCACTGCATGGCAAAATGTCCCAAGCCAAACGCGAAAGAGCCATGTTGAAGTTTGCTTCATCGAAGAATGGCGTCTTACTATGCACCGACGTCGCTGCGCGAGGCATTGATATTCCGGATGTGGACTGGGTTCTCCAGTTCGACCCTCCACAGGACCCTGACGCTTACATCCACCGAGTTGGACGCACTGCCCGACTTGGCCGTGAGGGAAATGCACTACTGTTTCTAGCCCCGTCGGAAGACACATACGCCGATTTCCTTTTCGTGCGAAGATGCCCAGTTTCGAAATTTAGCGAATTGGGGATATCACCAAGTCCGTTGAATACGAGAGACCTCACCACCCGTGTAGCAGAAGTAGTCCGAAAGGCGACGTTAGGAGACCGTACCATTCTGGAAGCGTCTGAAGCCGCATTTTTGTCATACATCCGTGCATACAAAGAACACAAATGCGGCTACATTCTTAAGATGGATGATATTGACATTAGCAGTATTATTGACTCATTTGGCTTACTCCGATTGCCCAGGTTTTATGAGTTTAAGCGGCTGCGATCAAAGATTGCGTTCAAGAAGGACGAAAGCATCACCATTCGCGATATACCTTACAAAGACAAGACTCGAGAGCGCCACCGCCAAGAAAAAATCAAGGTGGCCGTAGCGAATAGGGCAGAACGTCGCCAGGCACTCCATGCGAAGAGCAAGAAAGGAAAAAAGAGGAAGAATCGAAAAACCAATGGCGATGATTTGGTCCCTAAAAAACAACGAGACCAAGCAGTTGAGCGGGTAGAAGAGGAGGAAGAAGATTTTAGTTTGGAAGCTTCGCAGCTTCGGAAGGTCAAAAGAGGAAAGCTTTCTCAACTTAAATTTGACGAATCAAGGGGCTACGACGTTGACTTGGCAGAGTGATTACTTGGCACTGCATCGTGAGAGAGAGAGAGTAGGAGGATCAGCGGGTTGAAGAGGAAGAAGAAGATTTTAGCTTGGAAGCTTTGCAGCGTCGCAAAGTTAAACGAGACAAGCTTTCGGAACTCAAGTTTGACGAAGCGACAGGCTACGACGTTGAATGAGAAAGCGAAAATCAATACACATTGTGCCACGAGTGCTTCACTTCTTGTTGACGGGGTTCTCGTGATGGCTGCCGTATTCGCTCCAGCTCCCATCATACACAGCCGCATCGAAACCGAGCTCGTAAAGTGCAACGCAATCGATCGCTGCTGTGACACCACTCCCACATGTTAGTGCAATGGGTGATTTTGTCAGAATGCTGTTGTCAATGCCGTTCTCTGCCAGTACGGTCCGAAGCTCAGACACTGATAAAAGCTTGCCATCTGCGCTTGTAAGCTGGTCGCACGGCTGAGAAAACGAGCCAGGCATGTGCCCGCCCATGAGCCCTTCCCTGGGCTCTGGAGCAGTGCCTTCAAAGCGGCCCTTGGACCGGGCATCAATGATGACACCACTGTTTTCTTTGATTAGTGTGTGCATATCTTGCATTGATTTGACTAATTGCTCATTTTTCGTCGCCACCATCGGCGTTTCAGTTTCTATAAGCGGCTCCATCGTGGGTGCGGGTGGTCCAGTTGCAACCTCGTGGCCCTCTGCTTTCCAACTTTCAAGACCTCCATTTAGAAGGAATACGTCATTCTTCCCGAAGACGCGGAACATCCACCATGCGCGCGCGGCCCCCACAAAGCCCTTTTTCGCGTAAATAACAACCGGCACGTTTCTCCGGATTCCAAGTTTGGTGACAGCGTCTGTGAAGTCCTCTGGCGAAGGCAGCATGTGAGGTAGATCGCTGTTTAGGTCCGCAAGACCCGGGCCATCAATGTCAAACCGCCGAGCGCCTTCTCACCAATTGTAACGAGAGAGATTGTCAGCATAAGTTCGCGTGATGCTTCAGATAATTCAGAATATTACTGCGGCCCCGAACGCACCCGGTATGCGCTCGTCGATAAATTCGGTATTTGGGTCACGGTTTAGCTTTGGCATGTACCAAGACGCATCTAGAATTGATACATGCGGCATGCGCCTCAGGACCCATGCCGGATCTACGAGTGCTGAGGGACGAGCAGACACTCGTCTTGCTTGTCCGAAGAGGCGTGTATGCTGAAGTCCAAGAAATCGTGGTATTTGCGCGAAAAGCGCAAGTGCCCACCTCATTGATTCTGTGGTGGAACGGTTAGATGAGGTTAGAAAGTAGCCGCGCTCGTTGCGCGCAGCGGCGGGGGTAAGGAATTGCGAGACTGGGAGGGACAGGGATACAGTACTTCGCAAGGAGATTTTTGGGACTTTTCACAGTCAGGGCCATTCCATTCATCGTGATTGGCAATCACGCAATCACGTCAATAAATGGTGCCTGCTCCCTTGTGGTTGGTTATCGGACGACAGCACCACCGTTCCTCATATGTCAGGTCGAAGAAAGAGACGTCGTACGATGGGTAATCTTGTGCTCCAACTTGCAGAACGACGTTAAATTAATGTCGTGATCGCGTGATTGCGTGATTGCATGATTGCCAATCACAATGAATGGAATGGCCCTCACTCAGGAGATTAGCAAGATACCAGCGTTATCAAGTCCATGTTTTTCATGCAGAAACTTTAATAAAACCTCATGATTCTTCATGAACCGGGGACTTTAGACAATACCCTCTATTGCGGCCAAGACTTGCACGTTGGCTTTTTATGCATCGTATTATTGCCATGTTACCAATTTGTGCCGCGGGGTAATGCGCACGTTTGACGTTGTAAAAGCTGTTACGTTCAATAATGGGTGCCTTCGAGGCTCTTGGGAAAAGTGGCGATGTCGATCGGATAGAGGATAAACTCTATCCTGGAGTTGCGCAAGAGCACTGACGAAGGTTACCGTGAACTTCACAGGCTCTGGATCTGGACATCTTGCCTCACATGAGGGAAGAGGTCCAATGCCACTGGTCCATTACCCTTTCCTCCAGGACTCATTCCTCAGCGGTCGGCGCAACTCGGCCCTGCGCTCGGCCCTTTCATCCCTCCCGCCCGGCATCCTCTGCCGCACGCGAACCCCACCACGTCTTTCGTGTTGCTTCACGCGCTTCTGTGCACGACATACTGTACATATACAACCGCTGTTGCTCAAGTTTCACTCCCTCTTTGTTTCGTGCCGCCTTTCCACATGTGACATGAACAGTGCAGTCTGATTCTCAGTATTTTTTTTGAAAAAGATGGAAACGGAAAGTGCGGCAGTACTGCGATGCTTGCTCGCATCATGTCAGGGGTAGAGCCTTGGCAACCGCTGCCTTCACAACAAGTTCACAGTTCGCAGAACGATCTAGCCGGTTTTCTATGACAATTTTCTCTTCGAACATTCCTTCTATCGTCGGAGTGTAAATGAAAGGAACAGTCTTGGACAAGTACGGTCTCACTACTCCGCGGGTGCCCTTCCCGAGATTGAATCGCAACTGGTCACTAGATTCAGCATTAGCCTTCCTGATTTCATACAAAAGCGGTGCTTCAGACAAGTTAACGATCGAAAACGTCTTGTCCTTTTGCTCACCGCAAGCGATGCGCCCGAAGTTCAGCTGACTTAATGGAGCAATTTTCATCCGACTCTTACAGGCATGTACTGTTAAAATCAATGCACGGGGCATAGAGTCACCATCAACCTCAAAAAGCCTTGCCATCCGATTCACCTCCTTGGAATTCGTGGGTGCGGCGTCTGAAAACCGCGTATGATCAAATTCTAGCATTTGTACAGTCAATTCCTTCTCAATCGGTCTGGTCTTCGTCTTGCCCTTGACATCCATGTCACATAGATTCATGGTCACAACGAGTAGCTGCTCCGCGCCGGCGCCGAGAGTTACAATGCCTGTATCTTCCAGTAGTCCATCCTGTAGAGCACCTTGCAGACGACGAGCAGGTCGAAACTGCCGATCCGAGTAACTCATTTCGGATGCGTAGTTGGAAAAGAACATGGGCATGGAATCAAGCATTGCGTAATCTCTCTCTGTTAGCTGCCTGAGAAACGATTCCCAACTTCGTCTACTTTCACCAACTGTTCGGAGCCCCGTGTTGCTATTTCCCAGATGGTTGCTTGCAAGTGAGTTCAAGTGATTGAATTCACCAAATGCCTTTCTTTCACCCTCATTGAGTGTGCACACTTTTTCGTCCCCGAAACCAGCACGTCGTTTCAGACGCAGTGACTTGCCAGATTTGTTTCCCTTGTAGTATATGTGATCTTCGACAAGTGCGTTTACATTCCGCAATGCCGTAAAATCGCAGGCATCTGTCTTTAGCCCAGGCAAGCTTTTCTGGTCTGAGACATTCTCGCCCGTGAACGAACGTATTTTATCGCTGTTCTCATGCGCGACCGACGCATTCGCCGGCTGGTTGTCTCTCTGCGTGGGAACGTATGTCTTTATCCCTTTTGCCCCATTGAATTTCAACCTGAGTCGCCCTTGCGTGATGTTCCGGACCTTGAAGGCACGAATTGCCATGTGATTGGCGACAGTTACACCAAAGTCAATTTCATTTGTCTGGGTAGGAGCAAGGATTTTGTAAAACAGGGCGTGTAAACTAACCCCTTGTCCATCGATACAATTTGCACGCAAAGTGAAGACCAAACTAGGATGTTCTGGATTCCTCTTGTTCGTTACCGTGATTTCCTTGTGGTAATTCGGGTTTACTTGGCGCGGCACAAACGTTAAAGCAACATCAAAAGCTTTCCGCGGCTCAATGACGATTTCATGATTATCCGCCACTACACTTTGAGAGACATAATCGATAGTGGCAGAGGCTCGTAAGTCGGAGCAATTGATAATGCTCACCGATGAAGGGTACTGAGTAAGCACATCACAATTCCCTAAATGCGTTTCGTTTCGCTCCAACCGCAACATAGACTCGCACACTCTTGCCTTCCCCTCCACTACACGACTTTCTTCCGACGAAAGCTTGAATATAATTTGAAAGCTGTCAGGGCGCAAGCGGCCGCGGTCCAAATCCGATGAAGGCCCGAAAGCATCCAGTGTGGGAAGGACGAGCGGCAAGAACCAAACTCTCACCGTGCGCGTCTCGCCGGCAGCTAAAGTGACCTGTTCTGTCAGCCGGGTCTTACTCGCGATCGAAGCGACGAGTCTACCATCTGCGTCCATCGCTTCAGCAGAAGTGGATGGCTGTTGCTGCGTAGACAACGACGACCCGGAACCGTAACGAGTGACGACGCTGCTCGCGCCATCGTCTATCGGCAACTGCAGCGCACCGGAAAAGGCACGGTGGCTCCGTGACATTGGTCTCTCAACCTCTCCGCGAACGAGATCCTCCCGCCAGGGCGTAATCATGGCATCCGGCTCCTTCTTCATGTCCACGGCCTCGGAATCCAAACTCCATTGCGGCAGCAGCTCGAACGTGACTTGCTGGCGTCTATTCGAGGCAAACGACAATGAAATGCGATGTGAGGTCTTGCTGGTGACAGCAATATCTTTGTAGACGCTGCACGAAGAGTAACAGTCGCCGAAGTGAAGCTCGGGCCCGCAGTCGGTTTCGAAAGCGCCAGCGACAGGCGGGGCTACAACGGCAGTGACCGGGACGCGGAGCATGGCATGGGGATTGTGGACGTCTTCGACGGCGACGGTGGCGTTGAGGGAGCCCGGGGCGTGCGGGCGGACGGCGCAGAGGACTCGACGGGAGGCAAACGGCGGGACGCGGATGGCCGCGCGAGGCAGCCGGGTGCGCTTCCGTGCATGCAGAAAGGTAAGATCTAGGGAGGAGGCGGAGAGTAGGAAGGAGGTAGGAACTGGGGAGACGTTGCGTACGTTGAGCGCTTGGGTGGATTCGACGAGGGCGGGGATGTGGCCAAACGGGAGGGAAGGAGGGGAAACGAGGAGGCGAGAGAGCGAGAGGGTGGCCGAAAGCTTGAGCGAGGAGAGGGGGGAGCGGCGAGGGGGTAAGTGGAGCAGGAGACGGCCGGAGATAGAGGAGAGGGTGGTGAGAGAGGCGTGGGCGGGGGCGGCGAGCGAGGGGACGAAGTGGATGGGATGAGGGGTGGACGAATGCGGGGGAAGGGTTAGAGGCAGCGACGAGGTGGTGGAGCGGTGAAGCAGGTTGAGGTTGGCGGAGGCCGCGGGGGATGGCTGCGGCGGCGTGGCGGTGTAGTAGGTAGCCAGGGAGAGGAGCGGGCGGAGATTGGCAGACAGCGTGAGGGTCACGGAGAGGGGGGAGGAGGAGTGGTTTTGCAGGGTGACGGTGGCGCTGACGGGGGAGACGCTCGTGGCGATTATGGTCGGCAGGAGGAGCGAGGTCGGGGTCGGGGCTGTGGCCGTCAGCGTTACGACGGGCAGGGTTGATGGGGCGGTCATGGTGCCGCAGCGGATAAGGTGAGGGAGCCGAGGAGGCGCGGCGCGGCTCGACTCATGTTGAGCTCATGGTGAGATTGAGTGGAGTGGCAGGCAGAGCTGGCCTGGGTACCCGGAAGGAATGGGATGGCGTTGATCGCGTCTCTTTTCGTGTGGTTTGCTGTTGTTCGTTGCCTGTTTCGTTGGACGAACATTCTGTAGGTAGAAGTGAAGATACCGTCCTGTGCATGGATGGTGCTGTACACGCAGGTCAGCAATGTGAGTTGGGCCAAGTGCCATGACGGTAAACTGTATGTTGCTAAGGAGGCAACGTGTCACGGCTTGATACACGTTGACACGCGTAGGATACTGCAGATCGGGAACAGGACAATGCCCTCTGTTGAACAGGATCTACAGGCGCAGGCGCATTACTTAAATCGTCCATTTGTGACCTCTATGACTCAATATTCAATGCCCAAAAGGGCTGCTTCTTGATTAACGTCTCCCCTTCTTTCTTATCATTCTGGGTCCTTGGGCCCCTCGCAAGTTGCAAACTAACTGCCTGCCTGCCTGGCAGCGGCGAAGTCAGCAAACTCCGCGGACATGATTACATTCTGTCTTAAAGGAGGCCCTCAGGGTCTCCTTTAAGACAGCATGGACAGCCATGTTTCGATGTCGAGACTTGTATCCTGCATGGCCCAAATGTTCTCGAACCGCCCTACTCTCAAAGGTTCATTATCCATGTATCCGCCATGCACACGTGTCACTAATTGCCACGTCACTGACGTGTACAGTGGGGCGGACAATGCATGGCCAGAATTCGAGCGAGTCCCCGTTGTGGGCACGAGGCGGCATTTGGAGCCAAAAAAAGTGCAAGTGTGAAAACACCAATTGCAGCTGCACCCTGGGCTTACAGCGCCTTGCACTGCCGTGGTGGTGAAAGGCCATGCCTGAAAATAGTCTTCGAAATACAACGTTCAGGCAAGACCCTCCCCCGCTTCCTCCCGAAAAAAAAACCCGCCACGCACTCCCACCCCTACTTCGTTATTCAGTCCTTTTGCTTCCTCAACCCCCCCCTTCCCCCCCCAATCAGCAGTACTTTACACTTACACTTTAATCTAATGTAAGAACAGCAAAAGCCCGCAAAAACAGGTTAATCCTTTTGGGCTTCACCCCTTAATTTTAGCTGTAACCCCTTTAAAAAGTTTCTCAAGAACTGATCCTGACACTCTCGATAATGGCGATTTCCTGGCTTACAGAACAAAGCACTTAATTCGTGCTTGGAAAAGACGAAAGTCACTTTGTTGCATAATGTCTAAAAAATCTTCTGCTTGCAGAT